TGGGGCAGTCGGTTTTAGGGGGGGAAAGTTTGAGTCGACTTCCATGGATTCGGAAGTTTGGGGTGGTTTGGGGCTGTTTTTTGGGGGTTCGGGTGAAGCCCGAGGGGGGGTTTGGGTTGGTTTAGTGCTTTCTAAAGTAGAAAGACGTTCCGAAAGGTTGTTTACGTGGGTGTTTAGTTTAGCGATTGTCGCTAGGTACTTCAGTAGGGACAGCGAAACCTGCACTTAAACACCCAATGCATAACACCAAGGGAGGGAACTAATCGGTGTCGCCATCTATCGCTCGTGTTAAAACTTAAGGAATTACTAATATAGCTATTAAAATGTAGGAGTTTATGGCAGCACCCATATCATTTAAGGGTATAAAAATAGATAACAACCTTGGTTGCAATTGAATTGGTTGCAAGAAATATTAAATTCCCATGGTCCAATATACACAAACATAGAATTCTTTCCGGCTCTTCTTTATTTTCTGAAACTTTGCTAACTTTCTGATTTGGAACCAACTTTCTTGGTTTATCCTGTTAGCTCCACAAGCCTACGGTGAGCAGAATTACTTTTTCAAAGCCAATTGCAACAATTTGCCAATTTGCTGTGAACATCTAGAAAAAAACAAATTTACAATATCCCATGTCCATAAAATAATAATAAAGTTTAAAAATAAACCAATTTCAAACTTAACCTAGATGATATTGTAACGGAAATGGCCGGGGGTACTCACGTTTGGAATGGGGGGATCAAAATTGATGGTATTTCAGTAAATGGGAGCCCCATTTGCGCCCCATTTACTGTCAAATATGACACTGACAAGCGGGAAATTTCGCACCTGGGCTGGTGATTTCGATAACTGTCTGGGTTACCTGGAGGAAACTATATAAGCGACGACAAGAACCAGACGGGGACTATGATGTCAGGAGTACCGCAGGGATCAGTGCTGGGTCCCTGTCTATTCAACATCTACATGGCGAACTTTCCAACTGCAAAAGACATAGAGAGCTACATATACGCCGATGATGTAGCTCTCACTGCCACCGAGAAAGAAACCACCATGAAGGCGAAACTCTTAGAAAAACTTAGGTTTGAGGGTTTTTCAGTCAATAGATGGTCAAAAATAAAATACTATTTTTTCATGGACCGATGTTTCGACTATATTTAAGTCATCTTCAGGGCTTTAAAAAGGAAAACAGAGTCGTTTCAGCCTTGAACTTAATGAAGTTGAAACAATTTAAGTCAATGACAGTGTCGTCATTGAGATGTAATTACAGTTATTAATAAAAATTAAAACTTAACTTGACAATAGATTAAAATTAGATCGTGACAAGCCGGGCAAAAGTTGTAGATAAGTTCTATATTGTTGAGGCGGATTCATTTTTTGACGAACTTCTTTTTGGGTATTTCGCCTCAAGAATTTTTGTTTTTAAAAAAGACAGAATTTCCTCACGTCTTTTATTACAGATTGATAAATAGTGCTCCTATTTCGCAATAAGAACGAATTATTTATCAAAAAGTAAACAAGAACTATCACCTAGAGGGTATCCTGCGACACACTTAGGCTCAAGCTGTAAGGGAAAATTCCAATTAATAAAGAAATTCATTTGAAAAATTACCTTGACCTTTCGATAGCTATTTTCTGATATCGTTATCAAAAGAACCTAAATGAACCTAAAAAAGAGTATGTTAATAAATTGTGTAACAATAGTAGGATAATATATTGTAACGGAAATGGCCTGGTGTACTCAAGTTTGGAATGGGGGGATTGAAATCCATGGTATTTCAGTAAATGGCAATACAAGCGGAAAATTTCACACCTGGTCTGGAGATTTCGAGAACCGTCTGGGTTACCTGGAGAAAACTATATAAGCGGCGACGAGAACAATGGGGAGTGAAGTGACAGCAGCGACCGAGTTCAGAAGAGGTTAAACTCCGCGAGTCGGAAGACCGAGTTTTCCGTTTGTTATTGTTATTGTTTGTGAAGTTGACGTTAATTTAGAAGTTAGTTTGTTCCTGTTCCGTATTTAAAATGATACCGAGTTAATAAAAGTTGGAAGCCGAAGAAAGAGTTTGATACCCGGCCATCCACGGTACAATATAATTTATTTATTAATCAATTATTTAATAATTCCATATACTGTAACAGACCGAATTTAATGGTGACTCCACAAAGAAACTCATCTTCAGCGACGAAGCACAATTTTTCCTCAGTGGATTCGTTAACAAACAAAATTGCCGCATTTGGGAAAATGAGAATCCACGAGTGATTGTTGAAAAGCCGATGCATCCAGAAAGAGTGACTGTTTGGTACGGATTATGGGTTGACAACGTTATGGGGCCGTACTTCAAAAATGAGTGCAATCAAGCAGTGAATGGTGTTTGTTATCGCGAGATCATAACTTTTTGCTGCCAGAAATTGAGGATTTGGACCTGGACGATATGTGGTTCCAACAGTATGGGGCCACTTGCCACACAGCCAACGAAACAATGGCTCTAGTGCGCGAGAATTTCAATGGCGGTGTTCTGCCCCGTCGTGGCGATGTTAATTGGCGACCTCGATCTTGTGATTTGACACCGTTGGATTTCTTTGTTTGGGGATATTTAAAAAAGAAAGTGTACGTCAATAAGCCAAGAGAGCTGAAGGATCAGATAATTCGGCACATTAACGGCATTGAACCTCAATTATGTCTCAGTGTCATTGACCATATGGACCATCGGATAAACGTATTTCACGCATAGATAGATAGATAGATAAATAAAATTTATTTTAATATTGATAATTTTTGACAAGCATGGGCA